AAATATGGGCGTGTAGGGTTTTTTGTGCCCTACACGCCCATATATATATATATATATTTTTTTTCATGCGTTAGAAAAAAAATAATAAATCCTGCACCAAAATCGGCTGGTCGGCCGAGGCCGAACCTGGCCGATTAGGCCGTCGGCCGATTTCCCCCCCCCGGACGCGGCCGGGCGTGCAACATAGGCTGCAGCCGCTGCTGCTGTCCATTCACGTTATTAAATTCCCCAACCTTCAACTCATCTTGCATAGTGGCTGCAGCCGCCACAGCAGCTGCTGCTGCTGCAATGGTTGTACAAGTTGGTCTCAAACTCAGGCCCACTGCGCAGCAGCAGCAACAACAAACAAGAAAATGAAATACACCCAGTGAAGGCATCCTCCACAGGGGGCACAAACCCGTTCATTTCCGATATTAAATTCTCTAACCTTCAACCCATCTTCCACAGTGACAGCAGCTGCTGCTGCAGCCGCTGCAACTGCAAATGAATTAGCTTCCAAGCCGCCATTGGGAACATCGCCGCTCTCAGTCACTTCAGGGGCGGCATATGACTCACCTAAGTTTGTTGATACCCCATTGGCAGTTAAACCCAACCCAAGGAGTGAGTGGAAAGTGTCTATTGCTTCTCCATTTTTCCAAGGACAACCTGACGATGTGCTGCAGAAGCCAATTAGTGAAAGTCAAGAGCAACAACAGAAGGAGGAGACGCAACAGCCTCAGAAGTCCCTCAAACGTGGGAGAAGAAAGATCGCCAACACTGGAAGCGTTATTGGGCAAGCATTTTCTATAAGCACGGTCTCTCTCCTCCAAAAGCTTCAAGGATCAATGTCGTGACGCCTTGGCGATTTCGTGGAGCCTATACGGGTAGTCATGGTCATGCTTGGCATCCAGCTTGCCTCCTGGCCTTTCCTCAAGAGAGTCTTTGAGGAGGTGGTTGTGAGTAAGGTCAACATAGTGCTTTGCAATACATGGCTTGGGGTTTTTCTTGCCCTGTGCATCTACATGTTCAACTCCCACTTTCAGGGACAAATGGAAGGGCACCCAGTTCGATGTGAGTGGGGGTTTGCCATCTTGATGGTGATGACGTTGTAGATAACACCAGGATCGCCAAGGAAGATGCAACTTGACAATTTGTAAATAATTGAGACCACTAAACCTTTGGACAACCCCAATGACGCCTGCTCTGCCACAACTTCCTCCACGGTTTCCGTGAGATTGAAAATACGAGGGTTGAGCTTCAAGGTACCAATATCGAGTTCAGAATAGTGCAACACATCCTCGATTACTTGAAAGAGTTGCACAACTCCCTCGTGGATTGTGGTAACATACTCTTTCTGTTCCTTACTCATGGAAGTGCCCTCCATTAGCTCCACACATGCAAGGACGGTGATGATTGGGTGTTTCAATTCATGGTTGAGGTTGGAAATAAAAAAAGACTTCAGATCCTTTGCAAAGAGCGCATTTTCTGCCATCGTGTTTGCCTTCTCTGAGGTATTGAGCTCCCAGCGAATGTAACTGTTTCCTTACAAACTTTTCCATTAGAAACGCAGCCCCGACTAGATGGGTTAGCAAGAAACCAACTTCAACCAAGGATCGGCTTGCAACATCTGTCTCCACTCTACGATCGATAGGCTCTAGGATTGAACCATATTGCGGCATGCTATTGCTCATTGGCACAAAGATGATGTAGAGGAAAACCATCATGGCTGCATTGTAACACTTCAGCCCAAGGCAGCCCACTGTAACAGTTGAAACAACGAATACACCTTTCATGCCTTCCACCTGTGAGTATAAACAGGGGATGAGTATGATTGGGCAACCTATGAAAAAACAGCATAAACAGGCAAAAGGTTGCCAATTGGGTATTTGGAAACTGTCTCTGTAGGTGGCCCAGTACATAAAGTTGCAGAGCATGCAAATGACAAGTGTGATAGTAATGACTTTGGCAATAAAATTCTTGTAACCAAAAAATATGATATCAATGGAAATATATGCACCAACCAATATTCCAAGGATAGCAAGACCAAGTCGACGACTTCGCTGATTTCGTAGAACGAATCTGGCCATAAATTCATCCTCCAACTCTGGATCTTTGAAGACCAATGTGTACGACTCCAGTTGCCCCGAGAACTTTCTCTCCGCCTTATCCATTGACATTAATGAAAGGCGCATGCCCAACGGTGAGTCGGTATGGGTTTCTTCTTTCATGGATGCAGGACTGACACTTACGATGCTCTCTCCCAATGAAATGCCAGAATCAAATAGCTCCCTCTTGTGATCTCTCTATTTCCCATCTGCACCCATTATAGTCACTCGTTTACGTAGAGCACCAGTATTCGAATCCTTTTCGAACTTACCCTCATCTGCTTTGGATATGAAGAAATTATCATCTCTCCCCATTATAATGGACTCAAAATCTTGTTGATGTAGTATAAGCGGAATAATCTTTCTATCCATCCTACCTTCCTCATCATTTTCAACTGACGTGTCCGCCTTGGCAGTTCTCAATATCGACCTCCTTCTACTTCTATCAGGCTCTGCGGTCGCAAGACCACTTTCCCCTCTCACCTGCCCTGTGTCAGAGAGCCTGATGTCTTCTTGACCTATGATGGTGATCAATGTGATTGTAGCGATCTTTAGGTCAGAAGCTTGCCTACTTACTTTTCCCAATCAGTCAAATGGAAGCAGTGTCACCCGACATCTCGTTCAATATATCCTTCAAGTCCTAAATCGGCTTCTATCAACAAGGAGCACATGACTGCCACATCTCATTCCAGCTCTTTATAGTCTAGACAAACCTTCTCCGTCCACTTCACAAGTTATCCAATTGCTTTGTTCTTCCTTTGAGTCTGCTGCTGTCTCAACGTGTCTGTGCTTCTTGCTCCTCTTTTTTTCAACACCACTTTCTTCTTCGAGACTGGTCATAGACAAACAATGAATCAAATCTCACAATTTGAAACCACAGAGCAAAAAAAAAAAATTAAAAACTTGATTTACATGGCTGGCTATCCACTAGTTGTAGCACATTCCTCATGCATCATAGATAGACTGAGTAGGGGTAGAGATTGCAGAAAATGCCATCACCTTATTGCTCTCTCTCTCTCTCTCTCTCTCTCTCTCTCTCTCTCTCTCTCTCTCTCTCTCTCTCTCTCTCTCTCTCTCTCTCTCTC